CTGTGTGCGCAGTGCTGAGGGTTTAAACTGTGCTGACTGGGTGGTACCACTGGGGGGCGTTGCTGCTGGCTGTGAGCTCACGAAGTGCAGCACAGCAGATAAATTGAGCCTTTGTGAACTCTGCAGAAGTACACTGCCTGAGGGAATTACCCAGAATGCATAGCGCAGACTTGCCCTCTGACCCTCGTTATTGTGTGTAGCGTTATAAACCTGAGTAACAGCACATCAATCTACCAGCAGTCTGTCACGTCACGTGACTCATGGCCTGTGTGATGGATGTGCGTCTGTGAACATCCTGCTGATAAACCCAGAGTTTGATCCTGTAACAGCTGAAGAAATCAGTGTGAATGATGGAGGAAGCGCTCCTGTGATCGACCCTCAGAAAGCAGCTCTGATTGAACACACACACAGTTAACACGTGAGTGATGTAACTGACCTGAGGTCTGCTGACTGATTAACAGCTGGATTCAGTCTGAGCTGACCCCACCCCCTCCACATGCTGTCCTTCAGCTGTAGGAAGCAGCTCCGATACCGGAGTCTCCATCAACACCTGAACACTTCGCCTGACCTGCTGAACACACGACTGTGGACAAAGAAGACCTGATCAGTCAATCAATCAGAAACAACCTGCTGAACTGCCTGACTCGTCAGACAAACACACAGCTTCTATCAGATGCTTTTGATCATTTTTCAAGTGCATTGTGGGTAATACAAGCAGAGGCAAAAATGACGCTGCATCATTAGGCGGAGCCGCACATGAAGTGATGACATCATCATGATTGGAGTGTGTGTGTGTCCACAGTGTAATCTCTAATCCCACTGAAAAACATACTGCCAACAAACAGCTGGAAACACACACGTTGGTCTTTGCACACACGTGAGGACCATCTTGCCAACAATCACCAGTACAGACAGACAGTTGCAGACAGATGTGTGGACTAGGAAACATGTTTATGTAGCAGTTTTGTATCCATCATAATGTCCTTACATGTAGAAATGTCCTCACTACAGTGACTAAACCCTGTCCTCAAGAAGAAATCTTTCAAGTCCCCACTTCACAGGGATTTCTGCCTTTAAGTGGGGACTTAAAAATGTCCTCATAAACAAAAGTCCCTGGTGTATTCAGATACAATGGTCCGTATTTCTCCAACATCTGTACGGTTCTTAAACACTGATCTTTGTGCTCACAGAGAAATCTGTGCTTTTGTTTCTTTACAGGAAAGTGTCCAAGAATCTAAAAATGTCCTCAACTTATAAAGATTTCCTCTCCTTGTCCTCACTTTGTAAAAATAAAATACGATTTAAAACACTTTATTTGTTCTCAAACTCGGTGGATTCCTGTGTGAGGCAGGAATACAATCTGACACAATCTGGATGTTAAATCTAAAATCAAGCAGGTGTTGTGAGCTGGTAAAGATTTCCCGTGTGTGTGTCAGAGCAGCTACAAACTGCAGAGGCTGGTCAGGATCCATGATTTATCCACATCCATTCAGCACAGCCGCAGTCCTTTGGATGACCTCTGTGTCAGCAGATAGAGGTCAAACAGGTCTGTGTTGTAACTGAGACACCGAGTGTCAGTGGGATCACCTGTGTAAACGAAATATAAATACAGGACTTAAACTGTGCTGATTAAACACAGGATTCAGGTGTGACTGAGTAATATGGACACATGCAGTTCAGTATTAAAGCCACAGAAACATTTATTTACCCTACAACACTTTAAATAACGTGTGCAGTTACTGTGACTCAGGTTAACATCCCTGCCCCTGAAAATGGTACGGTCCTTTGCCAGGATTGTAATGTGGAAAAAAACACTGTTAAACGTGCAAAACTTGACCTCACGAAACAAAAAGTATCAATGTTACCGTCACAGGAATCACAACGAGCAAGAAAAATCAGTGTGAGCAGGTGAAACAATTTCCCTTCACTCGTCTGAGATATAATAATCTGTATATAAAAATAATAAAGAGATAATAATTTCCATCATGTCCTGGGGCTGGCCTCCTCATACGACCTCAACCAGCTCCTCTCGATGGGGAGGAGGAGAGGAGGTGAAAGATTAAGGCAGCCGTAAAACCCCACCCTGTGGTCATGGGGGTTTCCCTCAGGTGTCAGTGAACACAGGGCTATTATAACTTCTGTGTGTGTGGCGTCTCTGCCAGATGTTTGCATCTCAGGGTTTAAAATGAAATCTGTGGACAGCAGGTGGAGGCTGCTGCCGCTCGGACAGATGATGTGATGGATTACACACAGATGAAGATAAAAGCACAACAGATGTTTACAGATGTTTCCTCCACCGTGTGTGTACTGTTGTATCAGACACACGTCACTCGAGCTGCTGCTGTGAAGGAAGCCTCGGCTTTCTGAACGTTTAGAGGACGCAGGAACACAAATAGGTTAATCCACTGCTGCGTGGTGCATTCAGGGCCTTCCCTGAACCAGGACAGGTTGTCTATCTCACTCTACCACTGTCCTCTCTCTATTTAAAAAGACTTAAGTGTGTGTGTGAGTGTGTGTGTGTGAGATTAGAGCTAGATACATGAGGTTGATGGGCAGGACGCCATGTTTAACATCTGTACTCAGACTTTTGGTTTTTTGAATCAGACAGACATGATATCTGCTCTCTGATTGGTGGGATCAGGCCAACGGGATTAATATGAGAGCAGCAGCAGGGACACAGACAGACAGATGAAGGTGGACGGACGCTGCGGGCGACAGGAACCAGACAAACAGGTACGACATGCTGTAAAACTAGCTTTTTATCATTAAAGGTGAAGTTTGTGTGTAGAGCACAAATCAGGATTAAACTGACTGTTAAAAGTAGACGAGGATCAACAAAACTGTTTGACAAAGCAGAAAGTGTACCTAGCTGTAAGGGTCAGGTCAGCTACAGTTTGAGGCAGACATGAGTATAAAAATAAGTTCTGTAAGCAGGTATATGCACTACAGCTAATGTGGAGTCTATTACAGATTGATATAATTCCAGCATCTGAAGTGACGCTGTAATCCTGAGGCAGCTGCTGCTGGCATCATCTACACAGCTCTGATAACTGATTGTGTGTTTGCTGATGAAGGAGAAACATGTAGAAATGAAACTGTAGAGGACCAAGAATGGAGCCCTGTGGGACTCCAGACCCTAAACTGTATACAAGAACCACAGCAGCACCATCTGTTGGCTTGTGGTAACCTCATGACAGTGACCTGTCATTTATGGAGTAGCCACAGCCTAGAGCAGAAGACAAAAACATTCTGCTGGTATTAAAACAACAGCCAGGAATAGCAGGGAAAACCGTGAAAGTCTAAACTGCTACATTGGAGCTCAGATGTGTAAACTGTGTTACAGCGAAGCAGGACATCATCCATACAGGTGTAATTTTATTATTTTTCAAACTAGAAAGCTGCTGTACTTATCCTTTGTTACAAATGTGTGACCCATCTGCATCGTTATGTGTCAAGAAGGTACATGCACGATCATTTTAAGTTTGCTGAAAAAGCTTCTGTATGACAGGATGTTCTTGTGCCAGAGTACAGAAATCAGAGACTCAAACGTTTAGCTTTCTGTTCTGGAAGTTTCTGTACCCTGATTGTCACAGTGTCTTGGATAGACCGCATTTGCAGGAAGGCTGGTAAGACTGTGGGATCAGTCACTGTAGCTACACACAGGCAGCATTTTGCAAACTTGTAAATTATACATCTAAAGCCTGGAACAATAAACGCAACAATACCACACAGCTAATGGGTTCCTGGGTTAAATTGCTGACTTTAGGCCTGTTTTATCATTTCAGTGTCAGCCATGTTTGCGGGTCGGGCGTCAGCCGTAGGAGCTGCTGGACCCTCAGCAGCCGTAGCAGGAAAAGCTGGAAAGTTGTCAGTGGAGGAGATCTATGGTTTCAGCAAGAAGCCCAAAGTAAACAGGGGGATTTCTGGGAAACTAGAGAAAACGGAAGTGAAGAAGGATGTGAAGGAGAAAGATGAGTCGGTGTTGGCATCTCAGATCCTGGAGGCCGCCCGGAGGCTGATGGAGAGGCGACGCCTTGAGATCTACCTGAAGGAGTGTGACATCACCATGGAGCAGAGGGACATGCAATACAGGTGACATAAAAGACAGGTGCAGTAACACGGAGTAACCACCAGAGGGCACAGGCACACTGAAACACATAATTTGAACCACATGGCAGTTTGAACTGGTTTTACTGGGCTACAGTGATGAGCTGGTTTTAATGTGAAGATAGCTGAACTGGTTAACCTGGAGAGCAGCTGTTACTGGTCAGACCGGTGTGTGGTGTCCTCCTCGGCTCACTCTGACTGGCTCCTGGAGCTGCTGAGTCACATTTCTGTTATTAAAGACTTTCTGCTCCAGTCGTTTATCAGCTCGGTGTGTGTGTGTGTGTTCAGAGTGAGGGCTGCATCATTCCTGACTTCAGCTAATGTTATCATATATAAAACTGAAACAGTGTAAATATGTGAGCAGCTGGCAGCAGCACGCGAGCCGATACCTGATCAATATGTCGATGAACAGACCAGTTTGTTCTGCAGACCGAGGTCACGCTACATTACCAAACACAGTCCTGCCTGTGTCTGACAACCTTCTGTAAAATCATTGGGTTTCAGTACAGAGTGATCCTCAGTGAGAGAACAGGTGACAGACGTCCATGTAAACCTCATTAAAAAAACAAAATAAGCTCAGTGTTTCATCAGATTTCCACTGGGACGTCTCCACTGGAGAGTTAGTGCCACTGGCTAAATACTACACCCAA